CTTTCCTCGTTCTTCCCCTCTGCCTGTCTGTTTGTCTGTTTGTCCAACCACCCATTCGTCTGCCCGTTCGCCAATCAGTCACTCTTTACATCTGTCCGTCCGTCGGCCACTCTCTCTCTATTCATCAGCCACCCTTGCCTGTCAGTCCACCTGTCTGCCAATCAATCCCTGTGCGCGTGCCCATCACTCAGCAATATCCATCCTTCGATTACTTGTGTCTGCACATCAGTCAATCTGTCCGTCTGATTCACGGGACTCTCCTCCTCCTCCCCCCTCCCTCTCTCCTCCCTCCCCCCCTCTCCCCGTGCCTCTTTCATGGCATCACAAAGTGTTCGTATTGCTGACTCACTCTGTCACCGTGGCGATGGTCACATGCTCCCTATGCCATGCTCGCCCGGCTCTCGCTCTGCCAGCCAACATCACCCCCACCCACCCTCTTCCTCCTCCTCCTCCTAAAAAAAAGATTTATAAGAGGACCTTTGTCTGGCGTTCTCTGTGCCGTGGCCGTTTTCCCACCACAAATGGCTCCAACCCTCTCAACCCTCGATGCCAGGGAGCTGAGTCGTTGCACCGAGCGGCGCGCACACACAACGTTCACACAGCCCCGACACAATAATAATAATGATGATGATGAATAAAAGCCGTAAGCATATGCAACAACAAAAAACTAAAATTCCCCGTATAGCATCAATAGGCTGTTTGGGCAAGTGGTGTTAGTGAGCAACTATGGGGGCCGGCTGGGCACACGAAGAGATGGGGGGGCCAGCGCCACGCCCGGCCGCCTTTGTCTCCCCAGTTGGCGACGTTTTACACATCGCGACCGAGTCTCGCATTCGAGGCTGAGTCGACCGCCTCAAATAATCGTCGCCGCTGTTGGCAGCGAGCAGGATTCCAACTCGGGGTGCTAGGTTCGTAGCGCAACGCGCTCACCACTGCGTCACCGCTAACCCTACGCGCACACCACGCACCACACACCCCACGCACACGCAGACATTTCATCGTGACTTTAGACGGACCTTCAACAAATGGACATGGACAAAGGCAACCGTATGTTTTGAGTCACGGATACAGCGCCCGGGTTAGGGGTACATGCACAAATATGAATGTTTGTGCATGAATGTAACGCGATAGTGTATTGATGTTCTGTACGAGTAGGGGGGGGGGGCATCTGTGTGTATCTGTCCCCCTCTGAAAAAGAAACGTTCGTCTGTGGGGCCGTTCATCAGGACAATCGGGGCGACTTGAGGATTTCGCAAATTCGAGTGACATCCCCTCCACGATTTCTCTCTCTCTCTCTCTTTCTGGGCACAAATCGTCTCGAAAACTTCTTCCCATCTTCCCAACTTCTTCTTACCATCTCCAGGGCCTTCATTTCTAGCCGGGCTCTGTCCGCGCTAGCGACGCCACATCCAGTCTGCACCCCACCCCCCCCCCCAGAGGCCGCAAACGGGTTTTGATTCCTTACCCGTACCCGGCCGCACCAGGGTTGCAAACGGGTACCCGTACCCGGCCGGGTTCGGGTAGCCGGGTATCGGGTAGGGTACGGGTATCGGGTACCCGGTTGCGACCTCTGCCCCCCCCCCCCCTCGCTGCGGGCCGTGGCTCAGGGTCACGCACCTGGGACCGTCGACCCGGGAAGAAGAAGAAGGAGAATGACAAAAAACATTCCGTGAGAAATCAAGCGCTGGGCGCGTCTCCCAGAGCTCGTCGTCCCGCAGTCGGCGATGCGCTGCCGGCGAATTTCACGTAAACCTCGAGGAGTCGATCTTGTCTCCGTACGGTCCCAGTGACTCGTTCGCAAAAGGCGGTAGGCGTCGGGAGGGGGGGTCACCGGCGTTGGGGATGTTTTGAATTCTAGATTTGAAGCTTTCGTGACTGCAAGGATTCATATTCTTAGGGTTTTTTCGGTAAAGTCACGTGGGTAAAAACTTAAAGTTAATAAAAGTAAGATGTTCTGAATGCAGCCCCCCGGAGAATATCTACAGGGTCGCGGTGCCAACCGTGGACACGGCTACGACGGCAGACTTTGCTGTACGAGACAAAGATCTCGTCTCCGTCCCGCCGCCCGCACGGGACCCCGCCGCCGATAGCCCTACACAGAGACTGCTGGAGCAGGTGTTGGTATTATACCGAGCGGCGTCTATTAAGGGCAGCATCTACAATGGGGTGGCCCCTTTATCAGCACCACGCCTGACCTTTGTCTCTCCCCCCCCCCCACCCGATGATAATTGTTTACACACTGCCGTACTCATTTGAGGCCAAGACCAGCTAACCCTACGGGGGGAGGCCCAGGGCCAGTTCGAGACCTCGTGCCGTGGCTGGGAGCGCCACGGTGGCTAGGAGATGTGAACTACCTCGCCTGTTGTGCAGGAGGTCGTGGCGTTCGATCCTGACACCTGCTGCTGTATATTTGGAGTTTGGGTGTCTCTCTCTATCATCATCATCACGGTGGCTAGGAGATGTGAACTACCTCGCCTGGTATACAGGAGGTCGTGGATCCGATCCTGACCGCTGACGCCTGCTGTATATTTTGAGTTTGAGCGTCTCTCTCTAATCGTTGTTGTTTGACTTGCATCACACTGGGATTTTTGCACACAGCGTTGGTGTACGGTGCTTTTTCTGCAATATTTTGCTGTCTTTTCCTGGATTTTCTGTTTGCACATAGTCACAGTCACTTTAAGATGTTTTCTTGTTCGTGTTTTTGTTTTTTGTTTGTTGCGGTTGCACCCGATCCAAGAGCCAAATGGCTCACAGGGCTACACCAAATAAATGAAACTGAAACTGAAATGAAAATCATCACGGTAGCTTCGCCTGCTATACAGGAGGTCGTGGGTTCGATCCCGACTCTGACGCCTGCTGTGTAATTTTGAGTGTTCCGTGTCTCTCTCTCCCCGTGGTCGCGTGGATTTTTCTCCGGGTCCTCCCGGTTTTTCCCTCCCCCTTCAGAATGGACGTCACCACGCGTTCAGAGGAGTTTGGCTGCCGCGATACATTTCCACACGACGATGGATGACGACAACAAGCCGCTTCGTTGAGCCGTCAATTCGTGTGATCGCCAGGTTGCTACTGGAAACGGAAGAGCTCTAGAGCAGCTCAGTGGGAGGCCTTACCGGGTAGAAAAAAATAGTTTGGTTTAGAAGTGGCGGTCGTGCGAACTGGCAGTGGAGTGCGCTCGCCACTACACCACCGCTCCCCCTGTACGTGCAGGTGTCTGGAGCACAGGCCACTTGCCGTTCTTACGACGTGCCCTGGGAAGGAGCGGGGGGGGGGCTGTAGGAGTGTGATGGTGGTGGTGGTGGGGTGCTACCCAACCCGACTCGCTGAGCACGTGGACTCATTTTCAGGGGAGCATCGCCACCACGTGGGCTGCGGGAGGAATTGTCTCGGCTCTCTCGATTCTCCGTCTCTCTCTGTCTCTCTCTCGCTACGTACGTTGAACTTTTCCCCCTCCACCCGTACGTTGACATCGTCCGAGATCTGCCGGCCCACGACAAGTAGCGGGGGTGGAGGAGGACTTGACGAGAGGGTTTCGTGTCCTTTTGTTGTTGTTGTTGTTTCTCCATCAAACGAGCAGCAGCAGCAGCGAGACTCCGGTGGCTTTAGGTCGTGGGCCCCTTTCTCGTCGTCGGCGGCGGTGGCGGCGCCATGGCCCAGCGATCCGCGACCGCAGTGGCCGAGCGAGATTGTTTGCGCGATTGTTGTCGGTCGGTTGTGATTTAAAACAACCGCAGCAACAAACAAACAAAACAAGAGAGCAGCAGCACCTGCCGGCGGGAAGCCTCCGATCCGACCCGACGCTTTGCAACGTCGCCTCGGGAAGTTTTCCAGCCACGGCTTTGCCACTGGTGACGTCAAGTGACATCGCTGTCACGCTTGGGCTGGGTAGGGTGGTGGTGGTGGTGGCGCTTGTCGACCTTGGGTCTGTAAGTTCCATCGGTGAGTCCCCCGGATAATTTCGGTGACCGTGGTGGTGGTGATTAGTGGCCGTGTGTTGAACGTCTTTCACACCGTACGTAGCCACACGTGCTCATTCGGTGGGTGTTCGAGGCTACCAAGAATCCCGCTTTGGGACAGCGCTCCTTTGGCATCCCGTCAGCTTCTGTCTGAACGTCACATCGCCATTTGTGGGATGAAGGCCCGGCGAGGTGGAACCGCCGAGGTCGGGCCCGGGCCGGCGGATTGCCCTCTGTGGCATCGTGGTAGGATGGATGGGAAGCGTCGGGCAGGAGTGGGGATTGCCTCGAGCTGCAGGATGGCGAGGCACGTGGTCCATTTCGTAGCAGTGGATGAGCACTGAATTTTGCTTTGAGTATTATTCTACAATCATCGATGAATGAAGGTATTTGCCGTGTTCCCAAGTATGATTTTATTATTAGTTACTCCGTCTTGAGGCCCAATTGTTTTATCTGTAGGAACGCATCTCCAATGATTCAATGGAAGCGAACGGGGGGAAATAGGGTTCGATATACGGAATTCCGCTGTTGCGGATATCTTTTCGGGAATGTATCTGTTCGGCATATCCAGGGATGCCCGCGTCGGTAGAACGGTTGGAACAGGACAAGTTACGCAGCTGATATGGGGACCTCCTGATGGTACGATCGACACTTCATTAATTGCATTGTAATGAGGAAGCAACATATTGCACATTACAACTCTTCTGAAGGCAGTGGCATTCAGGGCTGTCGATATTGGTGCAGACGATGACACGGCAAGCGCGTCGTCGTGATGTGAGATCAGCGCTCCGTGTCATCGTGGTATGCGATCGGTGCGCGCGTAGTTGTGGTACGTGATCGATCCTGCGCGTGTCGATGTATGCGATCGATACGCACTTCGTCAGTCGCTCAATCGTTGCGCCGTTGCTACCGCTGCTATTGTTGTTGTTGTTGTCGTCGTTGTTATGGCTGAGCGCCTTTTTTTATGCTCGCCTTAGTTCGCCCATATTAATATGTTAATTTGTTCTCTGTGCTGGCTGTTAATATTACACTATCTGCTGTCTGCAGGTCAAGACAATAAAAAGCTCGGAAGAACGGACGTGCAGACAGCGTCGTCCTTCCCGCCGCTGCCACCTCCTCCTCCTCCTCCTCTTTGTCATCTTCGTCGCTTGGCCAGCCAGCGTGCTCCCGTTAAATGAACGAAATTAAAATTAGCTCTCCTAAAAATATTTAATACATTTCGCGAACATTTTTTTTTACGTCCTTGCGCAATTTTTATTTTTGTCCGTCGCGCCTGTTCCGTTTCATTTTTTTTTATTTGTTCACGTCTCATCGGACGGCAGTTAATGCCAAGCGGAAGTTCGAGTCGGCGACGCTTCGATTTCGTTTTTTTGCACTTGGGAAAATAAGTTGACACGGACGTCGGAGCGTTAACCATCTGACGTCTCGTTCGTTCGTTCGCTATCGCCCTGCGCTACGGTTAATATACCCAATTCATTAATAATCACGGGCTGGTGCTTTATTCGTTCATCAATCATCATCATCATCATCAGAAACACAACGGCCACAGTAATTAATTCATAATCATTACTGCACTCGCCACCAGATCACTACAACCACCGCAGCTCATTTATCCAATCTCAATCATTCCCTCTGCCGCCGCCGCCGCCGCCAGCAGCAACCCCCGGACAGCACCGGCTCACCGCCGTCGAGCCGACCCGCCCTGCCCGACACCACCGCAGCCGTCGGCCGACGCTGGCCGCGGCGGTTGCGGTTGCGGCTGCGGCGGCGGCGGCGGCCGGCGCCCGCACGCCGGGCCGCTACGCCATGCCGGACCGCGTGCACCACATCAGCCTGCACAACTTCAGCAGCGCCGTGCTCGGCGAGCTGAGCGAGCAGCGCCGCCGGGGCCACTTCTGCGACGTGTCGGTGAGCGTGCAGGGCAGCCGCGCCAGCCTGCGCGCCCACCGCTGCGTGCTCGCCGCCAGCAGCCCCTTCTTCAAGGTGAGCCGCGCGGCGGATGACGGGGGGGGGGGGCGGCAGGGGAGGGATCCATCTTCTTGGTTCTTTCGGTAAAGTCACGTAGAAAAGAAGTAATAAAATAATAAAAATACAACATAATAAAATAAATAATTCTCACGACGTTTCGGCTACAACGCAAGCAGCCGTCTTCAGGTGAAGAACATTCTTCACCATTCTTCACCTGAAGACGGCTGCTTGCGTTGTAGCCGAAACGTCGTGAGAATTATTTTATTTTATTATGTTTTATTTTTATTATTGTATTACTTCCCTTCTACGTGACTTTACCGAAAGAACCAAGAAGAGGAATCCCTGCAGTCACGAAAGCTTTAAAAGGGGAGGGATCGCTCACGGTTCAACATCTTGAGCCGGGACTGAGCCTTACCCTGAGTCGACTCGGCCACAAATGAGTACTTTTGGTGCCGCGTGAAAATAACGCCAGAACTGGGAAGACAAAGGCGGCTGGGCGGGGTGTTGGTCACATCACACACCCTCGTATGCCGTGTTGGCCTTGATCGGTGCTACTCCCTAACAGCACTTGCCCTCAACACTGTTAAGGCTACTGGGGGGACCTTTACCTTTGCTGGGATGCCGTGAGTCTTGAGAAGCCTGGTTACGGCAGGACAGGGCCTTCGCCGCGTTGACTTGGCCTTGTTTTAAAAACAGTTGTGAAGGCTCACTTAATGGACTGGGTTGGTCCAGCTTGTGGATTTGTTTAACAACAACAACAACAAAAACTGTCTCCCCACACTCTCCTCGCTGTCCCAGTTGCCTTTTAAATCGATGTCAGAACGTTTTTTTTGTACATTGGGGTGGACGATGAGGATTGTCGTCGTGTTGAATGAAGGCCGTCACGTTTCCTTGTTTTCGCCGCCGCCGCCGCTCACGATAGGAGGCAGCTTGCAGGGTGACTGCAGCACAGCGAGGTGACACGGCAGGGAGCTCAGGTGGTGCATCAGTCAGACATCTCAGTCGGTCAACCCGGAGCACCTGGTCCTGTGCCGTGACCTCGTGCCCACGAGCCTTCGATCCTTACAAGTGGCCTCAGAGTGCACCTAGCCTGGCTCAAGTGGCAAATGGTGACATCCCCACCACTTAGTGGTGAATGTTATTGCCGTCTTTGATTAATTCTTTGTAATGACCTGTCCGTGTGTCTGAGTTAAAGTGAGATTGCCTGTCGCTCTATCCGTCCATGATTGTCGTTCGAGTGTTTTCAATGAAGGCCGTTTGCGTTTCCTTGTTGCGGTTCCACAGTTACCCCCCCCCCCCTCGTCCCCGTGCCTCGTGACCCTCTCGCGTTCGCTCACAGCAACGTCCTGCGGTCTCGTTCATTGTTTTTTGTGTCTCTCTCCGCACCGTTCGCGAGCAATTTTCTTCGATTAACCACATCCCCCCCCACCCACCTGTTGTGTGCCTCGTGTGACGCACTTCTTTTCCCGTCTCTTTGTCTCAGAGTTCATCGCTTTCATTGGCCGTAGGATCGTGTGTGTGCGCGGGGAGTGGCGGCGCAGCAGTTGGCGCGCTGCGCGATTAAAACCCGGCGACCCGAGTTCGATTCCGGCTCGAGGCCGCAAACACCGGTGACGATTATCTGAACCGGTCCTGAGCCTCCCGCAGGTTGACTCGGCCTCGAATGAGTACCCGGTGCGATGTGTAGTAAACATCGTCACTGGGGAGAGACAAAGGTGGTCCGGGCGTGACGCTGGCCACCCACCCCCTCGTGTGCCGGTCCTGCCATCATAGGTGCCACTCGCTAACAGCACTTGCCCCAACAGTCTGTTGAGGCTATAGGGGGGTGCCACTTGCCAACAGCGCTTGCCCCAAACGTCTGTGAAGGCTACAAGGAGGGGGGGATTTTTGACTTTGTGACCTGACGGTGTTTTGACCGCCCCCCCCCCATGTCATCTGCACCCCCTGGGGACCGATTTCTTCGCAGCGTTCCCTCGCTCTGTGCGGCCGCAGCAGCGGCGGATGCGCCTGAAGAAAAAATGTTACCTGCAAATGAATTTCGTCGTTAATGAACTCCCCGTCGCCCGTCCCCGCAGGACAAGCTGCTGCTGGGCTACAGCCAGGTGGAGATCCCGGCGGTGGTGACCCCGCGCTCCGTGCAGCGCCTCGTCGACTTCATGTACAGCGGCGTGCTGCGCTTCCCGCACGGCGAGGCGCTGCAGATCCTCACGGCCGCCAGCATCCTGCAGATCAAGTCCGTCATCGACGAGTGCACGCGCATCATCGCCAGCAGCGTGGCCGCGCGCGTCACCTCGTCCGACCGCCGCGGCGGCGGCGACGACGCCGCGGCCACCGTCGCCGCGGCCGCCGCTGCAGCGGCCGCGGCGGCCTCCTTCGCCGGCGGCGACCGGCGCTCGACGGAGCCGGCCGGAGGCGACGTGGAGGGCGGTCGAGGGGCGCCGCGCAACGGCAACGACGACGAGGAGGAGGAGGACGACGACGACGACGAAGACGACGAGGCGGCGGCGGCGTCGACGGTGCTGGTTCTCGAGTCGGCGCAGGACGGCCCGGGCTTCGTGACGGCGACCAAGGGTCACCAGCGACACCACATCCAGCAGCAGCAGCAGCAGAAGATCAGCCTCGGCGCCATGTCCGACGGGCGCCAGCCGTGCCTCGGGGCCGCGGACGTGCCGGACGGTGAGCCGGCGCCAGCGCTGGCGCACGGCGGGCACCCGCGCAACCGGCCGAGCGGAGGCGGCGGGGGCCCCTACGCGGCGTTGGCGGCGACGGCGGCGGCGCTGCGGAACGCCGGCGTGGTGCCGCGCAACAGCTGCGAGATCGGCATGGAGGTGCCAGGCGGTGGAGGAGGAGGGCGGCGGCCGCGGCGAGCGCGGGGAGCCGGACTCGGCGCAGGGGACGCCGGACTCGCCGGGCTCCCCCGCGCAGAGCGCCAGCGACGGGGAGACGACCGCCGTCTCCGCCGTCTCCGCAGCCGCCGGCACCGGAGCCACCGGCGCCGCCTACTACACCACCGCCCGCTACGGGCAGCCGAGCGACGCCGCCACGGCCAACCAGCGGCGCTACTACATCATACAGTCAGGACGCGCGTGGCCGGAGACCGGCGCCGCCGGCGTGGGCGACGACGGCGCCTGCTCCATGGAGGGGCTCTGCGGCGCCGGCGACGAGGAAGAGGAGGAGGCGGGGAGACGGCCCTTCGACGGCGCCCGGAGGCGGCGCTCGCCGTCGTCGTCGCCGCGGCGCAAGCATGAGTCGCACTGCCGCAAGCAGCCGCGGCCCGTGCGGATCCCCTCCGTCGTCATCAAGCAGGAGGCGGTGGACGAGGAGGAGGAGGCGGGGGGGGCGGGGTGCGAGGAGGCGGGGGAGGGTGCCGGCGGCGCCGGCGGCTACTACTACGACGGCGCCGGGAGGGGTGGCGGGCGCAGCTACGGTTTTGGGTACGCGCGGCGCTACCTTCCCCCGGGATACGAGGCGCCGGAGAACGGGCACCGCTGCGACGACGCGCCGGCCACGATGATGATGATGATGGACGACGAGGAGATGGCGCGGCTGCCCCGCGACGACGAGATGGGCGCCACCGGGGCCGAGCGCGACGAGGAGATGGAGGGGGAGGACGGCGCGCAGGCGGGCGACCAGCGGGCATTCGACGGCTCCGCCAGGGAGGAGTGCGACGACGAGGACGACGAGGACGAGGACGACGACGACGACGCCATCGACGACGACGGGAGAGGGGGTGGGAACGGCTACGAGGAGGACGACGACGACGCGCCGGCAGAAGACGGCGCCGTCAGGGGCGAGGAGACGTTCGAGGGCTGGCCGCTCGCGCCGCGCGGCACCTCCGACGGAGGGGCTTGCGCCAACGTCGCCGGGCGCAGGGCACCGGGCGCCATTTCTCTCGAGCGCCGGCTGTGCTTGCTGGCGGCCGAGAACCGCCTGGCGCCGTCGAGGACCGAGCCGTCCGGCGCCGACGGCGGGGAGGCGTTCGCGCCCCCCGCCGCCGCCGGCGGCCGCGGCGCGTCGGCGCCAGTGACGCCGACGACGGCGGCGGCGCCCCCTGCGCTGGAGTTTGCGCCGGCGATGCAGGGCCGCGCGCAGTGCGTGCCGTCGCAGCTCTACGTGGTGAAGCGGGAGGGCGGCGGCGCCGGCCTCGGGGTGCCGCTGGCGCTGGGCGGCGGCGGCGGCGGCGTTGCCGCAGCAACGCCAGCCTGCCCGCCCGGTACCACGCCGGTGGGGTACTTTCCCGCCCTCTTCGCGTCGCACTCTTCGGCGGCGGGCTCCGGCGCCAAACTTTACCAGTTCTCCGTTGCTCAGCCGGCACTGTCCGGGCACCACCACCATCAGGTGCAGCAGCAGCAGCAGCAGCAACAGCAGCAGTTGGATTCGCATCAAACCTTGCAGCAGCAGCAGCAGCAGCAGCAGCTGGGACGTACGGACCAGCCGTTCACGTCCTTCCTAAGTCTGGGGGCTCCGGGGGCGCTGGCCACGTACAGCAGCCACCACATAGCAGGCGGCGCCGCAGGCACAAGCTCCCACAACCAGGGGCTCGGCCAGATTCTCCAACAGCACCAGCAGGGTGGCTTGCAGCAGCAACAGCAGCAGCAGCAGCAACAGCAGCAGCAGCAACAGCACGGGCCACACCAGCTGCAGAGGTTGCTGCTTCCGTTCTCGGTGCAGCAAGTGGGAGCCGCTGCGGGCGGCGGCGGCGGCGGCGGCGGCGGCGCGGGCGGCATTGTGGGTAACGCGGCGCGGTCGAACCTGCAGGGCTTGCCGCTGGTGGTGCGCCTCGGGGAGAAGAAGCCGTACGAGTGCACGCTGTGCAACAAGACGTTCACCGCCAAGCAGAACTACGTCAAGCACATGTTCGTGCACACAGGTGAGGAGGGGGACAGGGAGCGACGCCGCTCACGGCGACGAGCGGAGCGCCGGGCCGGCTAGAGCGCAGCGAGGTGGCACAGTGGGGGGGGGGGGGGGGCAGGTGGTACGTCGGGCCGGTCATCTCGGTCAGTCGACCCGTGGCACCTGGGGGGGTCTGCCCTGGGACGTTCTGTCGGCGGGCGTTCGACACTTCGCGTGGCCTCAACGTGCACATGGCCTGGCACAATGGCGGTTGTTTTGTTGTTGTTGGGGCGGCCGGGACACCGTCACCAAAGACCCCCCCCCCCGGCTGTTGGGCCAAGTGCTGTCCACGAGCAGCACCTATGAAGGCCAGAACGGTACACGAGGGGGTGGGTGGCCAGCATTCACCCCCGACCGCCTTTGTCTCCCCAGTGGCGATGTTTTTACGCACCAGGTACTCGTTTGAGGCTTAGTCAACCTACGGGAAACTCGTGCCGGCTTCAAATATTGACAGCTAGTGTTGGTTACGAGCGGGAATCGGGTCCATAGCGTGGCATCGCCAACCTCGACACTAACGCTTCCTACCAACACACACACATGCACACACACCAACACCTAACCCCCCCCCGCCCCCTGTTCACCTCTCCCTTGCGCCTCCCTCCCCTTCCCCCTTGTCCCTCCCTCCAGGCGAGAAGCCCCACCAGTGCGGCATCTGCTGGCGCTCCTTCTCGCTCAAGGACTACCTGATCAAGCACATGGTGACGCACACGGGCGTGCGCGCGTACCAGTGTGTCGTCTGCAACAAGCGCTTCACGCAGAAGAGCTCCCTCAACGTGCACATGCGGCTGCACCGCGGCGAGCGCGCCTTCGAGTGCGCCGTCTGCCGCAAGAAGTTCTCGCACAAGACGCTGCTCGAGCGCCACTCCGCGCTCCACTCGGCGACGGCCGCGGCGGCCGCGGCGGCCGCGCCGGTCCTACCGCCGCCGCCTCCTCTGCCCACCGGCGCAGTCGGCGTCGTTGCCGCCGCTTCTTCGGCGCCGCCGTCGCCCGCGCCTTCGTCGCTGATGTCGTCGGCGGCGCTGGCGGCAGCGTTGGGGCTCCCGCCGGTGATGGGCGCCGGTCTGGCGGGGGCTCACCGCGACGCAACGGCGACGGCGGCGAACGTGGCGGTGGTGGCCGTGGCGTCTGGCGGAGCAGCTTTGGCGGCGCCGGCTTCGTCCGTCGTGGAAATATCGCCGAACGGCAACAGCGGAATTGTGGGTAACAGCGGCGGTGGAATTGTGGGTAACGGCAACAACGGTAATATCGTCATTAATTTGCTCAGCAGCAGCAACAGCAACAACAACAACGTTGGAAGCGGTCATTACGTGGCCTCCGGCAACGGCGTAGGCAGTATTCTCACAGTGCCGGGAGTGGCAATTTTGCCGCCGCCACCGCCAACATCGTTGTCGTCGTCGTCTTCGTCGTCGTCCTCTTCGTCGCTCAGCGAGGAGCCGCGTGACGTGCAGGCGCCCGCCACGTCATTGTCGTCCGCGCCGCCGACGTTGCCCCCGCTTTCCGCGCCGTCCGGCGGGGCGTGCCCGCCTCCCGTCCCGAGCAGCGACGAGCGGTGCGACATCGGAGCACCGCCGCCGCTGCCGCCACCGCCGCATATTCCACCGCCGCAAACGCCGCAACTGCCGGCTTCACCGTGCCTCCCACCGCCCGGCACAGACTGCCGCCCTCCTCCCCCTACTGCGGCGGCGGTACCGCCACCGCCGCCCCCCGTGGCACCGCCGACGCTCCTGGTATGCTCCGTGTGCCCCGCCAAGTTTCATTCGCTCGAGATGTTCAACGAGCACGTGCGCATGCACGTCACGAGCGGCTAGGCCGGTGGATCTGCACTTCCTCCTCCTCCTCCTCAGACAGGGAGAGGGTAGGGGAGGAGCGAGCGAGCGAGCGAGGGATGGAGAGGATGAGCGAGACGTCGTGAAGACCCATCGCAACAGATCTGCAGACGCCCTCCAGAGCGGCGCTGGGCGGGAGCGAGAGCGACTGGAGTCATTCTGTCGTCACTGTGGAGTTTTTTTATTTTCGTGGGGGATGAGGTTTTCCCTATTTATTTCAACAACAAAAATTTGGTTCGCATTTTTATTTCTTTCTTTTTGACGAGATTGAAAGAAATAATCCTGCAGGGTTTTTTTTATTTTGTTCTTATAATCGGTCAAAAATGTGGATGGGGGGAGGGGCCGTTGCCTTTCTCTCATTTCATTCACGGAGAGCGAGCGAACGAGCGAGGTGGAGTGTGAGCGAGCGGACGAGCGGGGTGGAGAGCAAACGAACGAACGAGCGAGCGAGCGAGTGCCCTGTGGGTTATCTCGCTTTGCTGCGACGCGACAAGGAACTCGAAGCCTCCGCCCCGGTGACACCTCACACGGCCAGCCGTCGCTCGGAAGCGCCGGCGACCGTTCCCGATCCGGCCGGGAGCGGTAGCGGCGAGAATTCCACGCCGGGTCCCACCCCCCCCCCCCACACTCTCTCTCTCTTTGACGATTCTTATCAAGGCACGCGCCAGCGGTTAACATAATTCAAACAGTTAATCCTAATTTAACAAACGCTATCGATTCCGACACCGGCATTGGGCTCATTTGTTCCCATCACGTCGTGGAAACTATCTCTCGAATCGCATCACGACTTTTTTCTTTTGGCTCGGGAGCGCCTCGAGGGGAAGATGACGCTGCCTCGTTTTATTCCGGCGTAGTCGGCTACAACAGAATGCCTGTTTTGGGAATTAACAAAAAAAGATAAACTTAAACAAATAGGATATCGCAACAACAAAAAAACTAGTTTTTATTTCACCAGGTAAGGCCCACTGAGCTGTAAGAGCTCTTTTACAGAAGCAACCTGGTTATGACAAATGATTGCTCAACAAAGTGGCTTATCACTTGGAAATTTACACCAGCCAAACGCTCTAAAATTGGTGATTTTGATTCTAAATGTGGAGGGGGAAAGCCGGAGGACCCGGAGAAAAATCCACGCGACCACGGGGAGAGAGAGTGACAATGCAAACTCCCAAAATATACAGCAGCAGCAGGCGTCAAGGGTCGGGATCGAACCCACGACCTCCTGCACACGAGGCCGAGGGAGTTGACGTCTCCTCGCCACCGCGGGGCGTATGGCAGAGCGAGCGTGCCCGGGATGGTCGTCCGTGGGCACGCTGCCAGTTGCTTGCGATGGCGGCAGGAGCGGCAGGAGATCCTCACGCGATCAAAGAAAGACGAAGAGACGAGGTTTTTCGAGCCCGCCGGCCGTAGCAATGTTAACGGAATACGTGGACAAACGTGGCGTTATTTTCGTCCGTTCGTTTTTTTTTCAGTGTTAACACGTCATTTCCCCCCCCCCCCCCCCCCCGCTTTTACTTGAGGTGTCGCACAGCGGTGCCTGCCTGTAAAGCGGAAACAAACGAAACGTTTGACGAAAGCAGAGAAAAAAGAAATAACACTTAAGATTTAACAAAAAAAAACGCTACGGTTACCAGCTTAACGTCTGCTAAGTGTGGGTGTTCAGTGACCGTGCAGAGTATATATTTTCAGAGCGTTAGTTTAGAGGTGCTCATTGGATTTTAGCTGGCTAGTCTTGTGCCTGAATAGCATTTTCTATAAGGCGGCGGTGGCGGTGGTGGTGGTGGTATGAGCCACACGAGGTAAAGTCCTATGGTCCGGTGGCTTTTGCAAGTGTTTGCCGTCAGTGGCTCTTGACCGGGTGACTTTCGTGAAGCTAACCCCCCCCCACCCCTCCTTTAAAGCAAAGCAAAACTTAGTTGAGAGAGAAGAAGCAGTCCGTGAAAAGACTCAATACACTATATTTTTATTTGGAATATTTCATTTTTAAGCTGCCTAGTCGTAAGGTGCCTGTTAAAATACCGCGTATTAAGCCCAGTCTGGTGGCTACATCTGTGCCTGTTTGAATACGAAGCGTACATACTAACACAGTTGCATTGTGGGTACTCGCGTGTTTTCCCCACAGTGGCTACAGATGCGGGCGAGCAGTGTTTTTTCGGGATATACAAACTCTCTCTTTGACGGTTTTACGGATTTTTATTTCGTCGATTTTTTTTGTCGTGAGCTAACATCGCTGCCTGCAGTATACAGATAACTATCGTATTAAAACGGATATTAATGTTTCCTCATATGTTACTCATACTAACTACGCCTATAACATTAAGCGGTTTATCTTTTTTTTCCCCTCACTTTGACTTCTCTTCGGTTTTAAATCCACTGCCTTTGTGCGAATTGGCAGGTGTTTTGCAAACAAAAAGCAACAACTGAAAACCCGTCGAAAAACTTTCGGTCGGCGGCATCGGTTCTCGTGACGTGTACGCTAAAACCGTACGACATCCGACACTTTAACCACCGCGGCCGCCGGGGTTTGGGTGACTAATGTGAGAGCAGAGGTGGCGTGGGGGGCAGCTCTCGGAAGTGTTTTGGGGGGAATCGCGTGGCAATAAACAAACGGACCCGGGTGCGAACTGGGTCCACCGGCCTTGGGAAGGTCCCGGGACTTGGTGGAGGGGGCGGGGGGGTTTTAGGCGACACAGGTTGCTATCGAGAGAGACACGGCGCTAGGGCTGCGGTGTCGGGGGGGGCGGAAGCCGAAGGGGGGCATCTGGGTTACACTCGTCAGCTAGCAGTGGGAGAGGGAAGGGAACTCAGTCGGTAGCCCCGGTGGAGTGAGATCGATGGAAATGAGAGAGTGCCATTGTGTTCGACTTGGAGCGTTCTTTCAGCGGTTAAACTTCGTGGGCCGCTTTTCGGCTGTGACGTGTTCCTTCTTGAACCGAGTTGGGGCAGTCTGTCGTCTAGAAACCCAATTGGAGACCGGCCTATCGGTCTATTGTCTAAAGAACCAATCAGGGACCTGTCTGTTAGTCTGTTGTCTAGAGACCCAATCAGGGACTGGCCTCTCAGTCTATTGTCTAAAGATCTCAAGCAACATCGTACTCTACAAGAAGTTGAAACTATTTTGTAGTTTTAAAACACTGACCTTAAACATCGTTGGGGTTCGATGTATTGAATTCAGAGTTCATTCTTGTTTATTGCAAGGTCAGTGTATAACTCTGATAGGAATCCTGACTCCCAAAACATCGTTGTTGCCCCGTATCCGTGCTGTGTTCAGCTTGGGGTGCAGAGGTCTGTGAACAGCAGAAGTAGGGACGAGCAAATACAAATGTGAAAGCCCCTCATTTGGCAATAGCAATGGGGCGTGGGTGATGCCACACGAGCCATCAGCACCCTGAACTCTCTACCACTGACCCTTGCACTAGGTCAAGGGTCGGCAGTCTGCGGCTCCGGAGCGAAGCGCTTCTCTTTAATTATGACGGCTTCGTGACGTTACTCGCGTGCCTTTGGGCTCTTCAAATATTGGGTTGGTTTTTATTGCCGAATTTGAGAGAAAAAATGGCTATCCTTATTTTGGTCGCCGAACCCCGCCGTACTAGATCAACTCTTAACAGGATTAAATAAATAAATAATTACATTTTACAGAAATAAATAATGAAAAATAACAATACATCATAAACTAGTTGAGGGGGTTTTTTTTGTGTGCCGTTAACTTTTACAACCGTGGATTCGTCCGTCATTGTTACACGTTTCCACAAAAGTCACGTGCATGGCATCAATGCAGCCATGTTGGATCGAGCGTTGCCATGACAGCCACGTGACCCCCCCCCCCATCCAGCCAATCGGAGCGCATGTTGCTCGTACAACAGCAACTTATTTCAAAATAGTTATCGAAACCAAGTCACTCCGTGTTGCAAAGACATGGGCAACTTTACACAGCAAGGGCCGAGTTACGCCATCACAGCAAGAGCTTAAATATCTCGTTGTTTTCCCCCCGGGGATCACTGCTCAGTAAAAATGCAACGTCTCCAAAGTTGGCACTTGGTTGGAACCGTTGTATCAACGGTGGCCCAATGTTAGCCCAACATTCCGTGTTGTTTTTTCACCGAGCGGTGGTAGACTGAAAGTGGTGATCGTGTGCAACTCGTGGCCACGGTTTAGAACGAAAGGCTGCAAACTGGACGGTCGCGTGCCCGGGTGTGGAAATACGTTCTGGGTTAATGGCCCAAACGAATCCCACACCCCCGCCCCCCAACGGCAATTGGGTTCTCTGCGATGATGTTGCAAGTCGCGCGCGCACCCCCCTCCTACCGACATCGACTCTCATTTGAGCTCAACCCCTCTCGCCCTACGACTCGCGTTTCACATCCGGTCGACGACAGGGGGGATAGACCCTGCGATCCTAGTTATGCAGCGTGATCCATTTATAGATACTCCACTAAAACAGCATAATGACGACTTGACACACTTTTCTTGAGATGGCACTTTATTGAAGGCACGTTGACACTTGACATCAGGCGGAGAGCCCCACCGCAACAGCCCCGAGTCTCCCGCGCATCTCCCCCTTTTATATCACTACGAGGCCACGCCCCCCTTCTCGAACATTCCCGTAGCCACCAGTCCCTTCACACTCACAGCTGACTCCCCTGTCATTACCTGCCGTGGCCACCAGTCTACTCACAGCGCATGGAGACTCTACTGTCATTACGACAGTAAGTCATTATGGGGTAAACAACATTTTACACGAAAGCCTCCAACAATATCTCCCACCAAACTCAAGAATACGTTCATTGCGTCTTTTATCCGCACCTCTCCTCCGTAAGACGTCACCCCTGGCCGCCACCCTCACGGCGCTCGACCACCTTTTGAAAAGGAAGTTCAGAGGGTCATTGTAAAGGAGTGGGGTGTCTGTAAATGGATCGCCCTTCAATCAAAAATCTTCGTTTCGCTTGCCTTTTTCACAAAGGGACAAATTTGTGACTTTGAGGATATGTATGCACAAACACAAACTTTACTCTAACTCGACCATTATCACCGTTAAAAGAGTCCGACGCACGCACGCACACGCAGCACACACACGCAGCAACGCACGCCGCCCAGCGTGCTCCTAATAATCGCGCTCAGAAGCAACGCAGCGTTTGCTGAGTGGTCCCCGGTGCTAAAACACAACGGTGCTTTAAACGGAGAGGAGCTGGGTGGACGGGCGGTGGGGGGAGAGAGCGGCGGGGGTGACGGAGCGTGCGAGAGAGAGATCGAGAACGATGGAGGAGGAGGAGGAGGGGGGCTAGCGTCGTCGTTACTTTCACCGTCTTTTCGATCAATTATCGACGCCCGACTTACAACGGCGGTCGCTGAACGAGGAAGAGCAACGACGCACAACGATGGACAATGACAAAGTTTATCCGCGGAGAATTTGGGTCGGCGTGGGAATGGGGGGGGGCGCGGCGGCCGTGCGGGTTTATGCGCCTCGATGGAGGAGCGTCGTGGAACAATTTGAACGTGAAGAGAGAGACGGGAGAGAGGGGGCCCTTCTCGTATTTTACGAATGTGAACACGAAACGCAGAGTTTTGGGGGAAGTTTTCCACGATGCACAACGCGACTGTCGGAGTAAAAAAAAAAGATAAGATAACGAGAAGCAAAGCGCGGCTGTCGAAACCAATTCCTGTGTCTCATCGACACACGCGGCCAAACCTTAAAAACAAAGTCACAGACAGATGTCAAACATGGAATCGGAAATCCCTCACTCTGTATCGATGCACTTTTTTTTTACGTGTCTTATTTTTTTTAGGGACTAAGCAAGTTTGCACGGATTTAGGGGAAAAAAAATCGTGAACTGAATTTCCTTTGGCACTAAAGATCGAGGAGTAATACTGATTATTGTTGTGAAAATAATAGGATCAAGTAAAAAAAGGATATTGATGGGAGCTTCCAATAGCTGTGACTGAGCTGTAACCCAGGCGCGAGGTTTATGATTGTAGCACTATTTTAAAACATTTTCTTTTTCTAAGACGAAAAAAAGCAATTTACGGTGATAAAGTGCGTGCAATGCGTGTAAGCGTGCGTTCGGAGGATTCAGTGGCAGACGCGTGTGTGGCCGACACATCTGTGGATACATCAAGATTCGTCGGGAAATTGCACAGCACTAAACAGCCAATTAGCTAGAAAATCAAAACGGCTCCCGATGTTACTTTCCAAGTGTTTCTTTTGTACTTGCCAACACGCTTGGTGGCACACAAAGCATTTTATTTGAAGTCCATGCGACGAGGTGGGGGGGGGAGGTGGCAGTGGCCTTTGTTGGCAGGTGTAAATGAGGCGGATGTCCGGGCACGTTAGACGTAGACGTTTAGCGGGTCGTCAGCGGATTTGCATCGATGGATCGCCACGTGTCCGCGTTGGGCGTTTGATGTGCCTGCTTTGGGTGTCTTGATGCGTGTGGTGATGTGCGTATGTTCAACGGGCGTGCGTCTTCAAATGCCGAGGTCCAACATGCCGCTCGCGGTCAATATCGGTGGCGAATATCTGAAACGGTTGAGTACCATGATGCGGCGTTGTAAAAACATCGCCACTGGAGAGACAAAGGCGGTCGGGCGTGGTGATGGCCAACCACCCCCCTCGTGTGCCGCGCCGGCCTTCGTAGGTGCTCGCTAAACAGCACTTGCCCCAACAGTCTGTGAAGGCTACACGGGGGTGTGTGGTGACCTTTTGCCTTTTGTATGTCCGCATGATGCCGGGTGCGTTTGTTGGCGTGCGAGTTTGTGCATTTGTCACGCACGCCTCTGTGTGGTGTGGTGTGTGTCGTGGTGTGTGTCGGCACGAGAGACGCGAGGAGGATGACGATGATGGTGATGGGGGTTGTGGAGGGGGGGTGGTGGTGGTGGTCGTGGGAAGGAAGCCGGGTTTGTTCCGCGACTCACGTGAGCTCATTATAATAGGCGCGCACTCGATTACCGTACGTATTTATTTTCAGAAAAACTAAATATATTTAACATGAGAAGAAAGAAAAAACGTTACATTTCCAAAACTATTTATGCACTTCTTTCGTTTTTTTCCCACCCCGATTGTAATTTATTTCTTCGTCGTCGCTAAAATATTTTTTTTTTCAAGTCGTAACCAACCCAAGAGCAGCACCAGCCAGTCGAGCATCCTCTTATCCGCCGCGCCGACGGCGGGGATCGCTGGGGGGGGGGGACGGGGATCGATCATCCGTGGACCCCTCCGCCGCCAAATCCACTCCCGCTTATCCGCGAACGCGTTGGCGGATTACAGGAAGCCGTTTCGCAAAGAGGAGGACCACGGTGATGTGAATGGTGGCGGTGCGGTGAGAGAGCGTTGGTCAAAGAAACAAAATCCCCCATTGATAATCGCGGATAATACAAAGAATGGGAGCGGCGGATAATTGGATTTTTTTGTATTCACAAAACTCAACCTTGTCAAGTTAAGTTGCACTACTCAGCCACCTCCTTGTTACCCAAGTCGTCCATTATAGCCCTCTTAACAAAAACGCCACAAACCAGACGGTCAAGACGACGTGCCCAGTACTTTTTTTTCGTTTATTTTAAACTCGTAATTGTGTGCGCCTCTACTAGAGTGAATGCGGTATAGTTAAATGTGACTTATTGCTGCACTATTCCAATGGATGGAGA